TTGTATGTCTTCCACTTTCTAATTGCTCCCACAGTGGATTTCTCCACAACAAGCTGCTTACCTATTGCAGATTCAGTCTTCCCAGCCTAGGGCAGGTCTACAGTTTTCTCTCTGGTGTCCTTTGACAGCTCTTTGGTCTTGGCCATAGTGGAGTTTAGAGTGTGATAGTTTGAGGCTGTGGACTGGTGCCTTTTATACTAATTACAAGTACCAACAGGTACCATTAATACAAAGAAAGAAAACAAATTTTCATATAGCGCCTCTCAAGATAAAAATCACGAGGCTCTTACACACAAAAAAAATTATAAAATTTGCATTTCATTTAAACAAATGATTACTAATATGTTTAAAATGAGAAAATAAAATTAAAATTGTGATGAAAAAAATGTAAAGAAGGGGTGAAATAAAATAAATAAGAAAGAGGGAAATCAGTGGATACAGGTAATAAGTGGAAGCCTCTTACAGAAGAAGTTACAGGTCTGAGATCCAGGAATATTGTTTGTTTGAAGGAGACCAAATGCTTATTTTCCACCATAATTTGCTAATAAATTAATTAAAAATCAGACTGTGATTTTCAGGATCTATTTTTTCTCATTTTGTCACTCATCGAAAAGGTATACATTACAAACTTCTCTTATCTTTTTAAGTGGGAGAACTTGCACAACTAGAGGATGACTAGATCATTTTTTGCCCTACTGTAAATGTGGGGGAATCTAATCTAATCCTATAAATATATTAAATTAAATAAACAAATATCACTAAAATCGCTATTAAAGCTGTTCTGGTGAATCTGCAAACAAGCTAGTTTTTGAATGCAAACACATAGAAATTAATCAATCAGAAAAGGTCGGTTGAAGCTAAGATGCAAAGTAGTCTAGAACACCTGTTTGAGTAACCTGACTGCTCCAAGTGGACGAACATTATTAGGGCGACGGTGGCACAGGAGTTAAGTGCTCGCCCCATTATTGGAAGGTTGCAGGTTCGAGCCCCGCTCAGTCTGTCACTGTCGTTGTGTCCTTTTGGCAAGACACTTGACCCACCTTGCCTGCTGGTGGTGGTCAGAGGGACCGGTGGCGCCAGTGTTCGGCAACTTCGCCTCTGTCAGTGTGCCCCAGGGCAGCTGTGGCTACATCGTAGCTCATCCCCACCATTGTATGAATGTGTGTGTGAATGGGTGAATGACTGATTGTGTTGTATAGTGCCTTGGGGGGCTCCGGGACTCTAGAAGGCGCTATTTCAAATACAGGCCATTATGTTCTCTAAAATAATCTGCTGTGGTCTCTAGTATGAATGAATGCCTTATCAGTGGTTTTCAGCGTAAAAAAAAATAAATAAAAACTGGCACGCCTGTTTTAGGAAGTTAGAGGAGTGGGGCACGGGACTTTGAGTCTTGCTCATTAATATTTAGGATATGCAAATATCAGAAACAAGACTCTTCTGCTGCCTTTGTTCTCTCTTTTTTCTTGGGTAAAAATGCACTGTTGATCTTTCATCTCCACAAAAACAAGCCCAACTCTGTTCCGCCATGTTGTGAGGTTGCTAATGCTAATGGTTAGTTTCTACTAGCCATTACATGCACTGCTCTCTCCTGGATGCTACATCAACAGCCTGTTGCATTCACAACCCAAGGTGAATGAGTCCATGAATACATATTTTACAGTCAGAAGTAGATTTGTGTGGCTTTTTCTGACCCGACCATTTCCCCATCTATTTTCCTTTGGTACCAAATTCAGGAAATAGGGGTAGAACACTATTTTCACAGTCAGCATGCATGTGAAATGCATGACTGATCGTATCTCAAAAAGAACAAGTTTTATAAAATTTTCAGTAAAACTTCTGCTTTAAGGTCATCTAATGGTTTCCTCTTGTTACCTGTTCTGATTGTGTGTCTGTTTTCAAACATTTTGCTTTCATTTTACTTATCAGCCTCATTGTCTTCTGATCACTCGTTCAACCATTTCTCAAGAATCTCTCTGCCCAGCAAAATACCCCCACAGTTTCCTCATCCCCTGCTGCTGATCGCATCCACAACATTGTAAAGTAATGCTAATGGACACACAGATCCGAACAAAGGCACAAGCATCGAGCAAGCTTTTTCTAACGAGGATTTCCGCTTTTTTACACCTTCATTCATCGTGTCCCTCATTCTGAAACTCTTCTCGTCTCTACATATGGATCTATTGATCTGGCCTCTTGACAGCTGCTTTTCCAGTACAAGTCCTTCATGTAACAGCCATTACAGATAATCATCCAAAGCAGGCCTGCTTCACTTCAGGTCTGCTGGAACCCTGCTATGATCCACCATTCCTCAGATCAATCAGCTTACCGTGGTGGCTGCTTCCCAGAAAAACAGCAAACCTTATCAGTTAGAACAGACAAAAGCAGAGCATCACACAGAAGACTTTAAAGAGCAAGTCACACCAATTTTTTTTTTTTTTTTGCTGATAACTTGTATAAATACGTGTATCATAGTGTTGTAGCCATGTGCAGTCATTATTTTTGCATTGTGGTGCATTTTCTTTAAAAACTTAAAATTCAGCCTAAAACCTTCAGTCCAGCGCCCTCTTCAGCTCAAAAATATTCTACACAAATTTACAACAGTTTGAAATTTGTCTAGACAAATAGGTGAAAGGTCCCATGCAACATAACCAAGTCCCATGTAAGGTGTCACAGCTCTGTGGCTGTAGGTTATAAAAGCATTGCGGCCTCGACCAGCCTTGTAGCAGTGGACTCGGATTCGCCGTGAGTGTTTATGCTGTGGCCTAGCTGTAGTTAGCAGTAACATCGAGTCAGAGTCCCAGCAAAGCTTCTATTGTAATTATTTAGTTCTAGTAGCTTGACTGTTAGATTTTGTAAGTTAGTGTTTTTTGCATGTGACTTTCACCAACTTGATGAAGTTTGAACCGGGTTGTGCTGGTTTGAAAAGTGTTTCAATAATTAGTCCAAGCCGTTCCAGTAATTAGCCAGATCCCGCCAACTGCTGCTTCTCCAAATCGAAGATTTTGGGCTCAATTTGATAAATTAAAATAGAATATAATAATATAATAATATAATATAATAGAACAGAACAGAACAGAACAGAATAGAATAGAATTGAATAGAATAGAATAGAATAGAATAGAAAGAAAAAAATCTAACTATTCCCTAATCTGGTCTTTGATTAAATCCACTTGTGTTTCTGTCATATCAAAGGAGAATTTTTGGAGTCTACACCAACAGGCCAGCACTGAACCTATTCTAACATATTCCCCTAATTTGTCTAAACCAAATGTTCTAACTAATTGTAAGACCCACAGTGACTTTTATAGAGCAGCAGACCTGAAATGGAGGCAGATTCTAACAAAAACTATTATGTATGTTGGAGTAACACGAGTAAAACAAGAGCAAAGTCTGATCTCCTCCCCACTGAGAAGGTAAACACGCAACAACCGCCGTCACGTGGATGTGCTACAAACAGTTAGCATCAATTATTGATGCTCTGCTTACAAAACACACACACACACACACACACACACACCTACACACACACACACACACACACACACACACACACACACACACACACACACACACACACACACACACACACACACACACACACACACACACACACACACTCCTGAAACGGTGGTGTTCTGGTCAAATTGAAGCAGTTCATTTATCACCACGGAAGTTAACTGTGCAAGTGCATAGTTATGTAAAAAAAATCTCAACACACACACACACACGTGCATGGACACATTTTCCCTGTCTCCTTGTAAAAGAGAGAAGCTCATTTAATGTTGATGAACTGAGCACCATCGTCTCAGAGAAGCAACAGAAAAGCATCTTCTGGAGTGCCAGCTTACATCTTTCACTAGTTTCATCCCAAACATCACACGGGCGTTCGCCATATAACATAAATGGATTTGAGTGACCTTATTCCCCTGTGTTTTCTTATAACTTTGCCAATAAACGTGTTCATTTTTTTTATTATTGCATAAGAGCTATATGAGAAAAAAGGATTACTTTCAACTGCATGATGGGACTTTTTTATTGGAAAGTAGCACCGAGGCTCTGTGATGCTGCTGCTTTGGGCCCTGGCAAGATGGGCTGGGGTCTCCATGCCCTGGGTGGCATTTTGGCAACAGAGTTGCCTATTGGGGCCAGTGGCCTATTGGGGCTAAGCCCAACCAGCCATTCCTCCCCATCTCCACACATTTTTCTCCTCCTGCTCCCTCACATCATCACACAATCATGCACATAGGACCTTAGGGGGTGGACAAGTCAGGGGGTGCGGGTATGGACCCCATTTCCGCATTCCTGTGGCAACCTGCCCCCCAATTTTATTTGCACCTTAAACACTTCCACCAATGACATTCCACGCAAACACACTTAGGCCTTGGGAGTGAGCACATTCAACGGCATTTGGCAGGGGGATTTTTCAGCCTCATCCCGAGTGCCGGTGCCCACTTCCAATTTTAGACTGCACTTAGACACAGAGGGCTGTGGGTGCAAGTGGGGTGGTGTGGTGGCATCAGCTGGCGTAGGCCAGACGATGCCCGCACTGCCCGCTCACTACAGCCATGGAATACACCTCAGCAACACACACTAACACTATATTGGAGAAGGCGGAGGGAGACAAGGGGTCTTAGCACACCTCTGTTGTCACTTGGCTTTCCAGGACTGGAGGCTAGGAGGGAGATCTGGCTGTCTGGTTGGGGTCTGGGGTGGTGGGTTGCTTTGCTCAGCGTTGGGAGGGGGAGCCTGCTCATCAGCACCCCAGCAGAAAGGGTCGAACTCTGGGAACCGGTAATGGTTGTACCCCATGTGCAGCTGTACCAGCACCAGAGTGAATAGGGTGTGTATGGGGAGCACGAGTGGGTGTCCGGTACATTTTGTGAAATTGACACAGAAACACATTTCCTAAAGCACAGTAAAATAATAATGCCTGGATGTTTCCACATCCATTTATTTAACATAAAACAATATAAATATACGTGTGACTTTTAAGAACATACCTGGTTGTAGAGAGCGCACACGTGCAGGGCGGTGTTTCCAGAGGCATTCTGGGTGCTCATGTCAGCTCCGTAGAACAGCAGGTGTTCCAAATGCTGCACATGTCCATAACGGCAAGCCTAAAAGAACACAGCCGTGCAGTTATTCTTCTGTGATTCCTAAATCTTAACAGTTGACAGGAAGGTCTGCAAGAAAACATCTCATTTTAGAGTTAACAGATCAGTAAATACAACCCAAGCTGAATTCTACCTTCCAATCTCTCATCTGGACAAAACCAGCAGAAGACATATTCTTGCTGTAATTAAGAAGATAGTACTGTGACCTACTTCTCTTTCCTTGCCAGAAATTAGAGCTGAGGAAATAACTGTATAATAACTCAACTATCCCTGACTGAATACATTTTTCAGAAGATAACCAGTTTCAAGCACTAAAGGAATCAAACCTCGGAGGTGTTAAGAACACTGATTCATTAGCCTGAGCTTGTATTTGAAGTTTTCTGGCCAATGCCTCAACCTTTGATCTGCTGTGAACAGTCTGTCCACAAACACACATGAAGTTGTTGACCAAAGTGAAAGTAACTTTTTCTTTGGCTACAAGTCTAAGTTGTTTTCGTCGACGTCGTTTAAGTTTCCAGAAGGAAGGGAGAGTCTTGTTTGTCTCACCTGAGGCTGAATGTAAATGTGTGAAGTTATTCTAGTAGGAGTTCGCCTTTTTCTGCTCCACTGTTTCACATCACTTGGAGCAATATCGTTTCATTCTTTACTTTATTTTCTTTCTTTCTCTCTTTATTCCCTATGCACTTTCTGGTTCTGTCCTTCGTCATTCACATAGAAGAAAGCAGCTCTCCTGAGCTGTTCTTGTCTCCCTTCTGTGCTCTGTCTGTCTGCTAAAAGTGCATAAAAGACACAGAAACAGCACAAAAAAACAATGCTAAAATTGCTTTTATCAGCTTTCTGCAGCATATCCTTCTGCACATGATTTATACCAAAATGTTCTTACTGATGAAAAAGACACACTGTGAACAGCAACAAAAATAATAATGAAAAACGCCCAAAGATTTGGAAATGAAAAACATAAATAGGATCCAAATCTCTCACACTGAACAATTGTTGGGTTTCCAACAATGTGAGAAACATTTTTTAAAAATATGTTATTGAAAGATCACCCCAGACTTGAAAAGCAGGCACAAACAAACCATATTGTCATGGTCTGCGTCTGCGTCTTCCTTCATGTGTCTCCTGATGTTTTTCCATCCTCTCTAGATTCCCCTTTTGTGTTTCTTAGCGCCCTTATGTGTCCTTTGTCTGCATCTCAATTATGTGTCTCATGTCTGTAGCCCTTTAAAGTCAATTCCTCCCAGGTCCTGTGTCATTCATTCATCCCCAGCCCTCCAGGTCTTCCTTCACGTTCTGTAGCTCCAGCCTCCTTGTCCCCAGCTCAGTGTGTGTGTGTCATTCCCCTGCTCAGTGTTTGTGTATGTGTGTGTGCGCGTGTCCATCCCCATCTCGGTGTTTGTGTGTGTGTGTGTGTGTGTGTGTGTGTGTGTGTGTGTGTGTGTGTGTGTGTGTGTGTGTGTGTGTGTGTGCATGTTCCATTCCCCAGTTCAGTGTATGTATGTGTGAGATTATGTGTGTCAGTGTGTGTGTGTGTGTGTGAGTCCTCCCCATGTAGATAATTGTTGTTTAGTTTTGTGTTTTAGGTTTATCTGCCCTCCACCGGTTCTGTTTCCCCATTTAGATATTGTAATCACCTGCCTTCCCTCCAGCCCTCACTCCACACACCTGCTTCCTGTTCCCCTAATTGTTCTCCCTGTGTATTTAAGCCCTGTCTTGTCTGTCTTTGGTGTTGGTCCATTGTTTGTAATTCTGTCATGTCTTCTCGTGCCTCTCGTGTTTTTGGATCTCCAGATCTTTATCTGGATTGTTGGACTTTGGCTCCCAGCCCTTTTGGATTTACTTTTGTTTTTGGTCATCCTAAAATAAAAGGATTTTTTATTTATTCAACTTCTGCCTCGTGTCATCCTGGGTTACTGCATTTTGGGTCCCACCAACCTCGCACCGTGACACATACTGTTGTAATGATCTCGTCTTTGTAAAGATATTATGTTGTTCTGCTTGTACATGCGATTAGGTGTTTTGGTACTGGGTCTTTTATTTTATTTTATTTGTAAAAAGGAGCATGTTTCAATTCATAGGTACAATTATTTGTTTATCACTCAATTAAATTCAAAATCTGCTACAAAGACAACAATGCGTCAATCTTGCCTCTTGCAAGATTGACGCATTGTGTGGTATTAACCAATTTGTACTTGTGCGTGAAAATGTTCCTAATTATTAGAGCAGCTCTGACCTTGCATAGGAACAGCATCTAGTGGTAGAACAGAGGAACAGTAATTGTTAAGGTTCTTATCCACGCATGTTCCTCATGCACAGATATTTACCCAGCAGGCTGTGTAATTATGTTGGTGGAAAAACGGCTTTTGTGCATAACTGGTGCTAAAACCAATTAAATACAATTGTGACGGATGGGAATCTGACATAATATCTGACGAATCTGTGTTAACTGAGGATTTAACAGAGCGTGCACACTGGAGAGAACGCATTCTCTGTGAGCGCACTAGGAAATCCTTCTGCTATGCTGTGATTTGGGACCCTTTGTGGTGCAAGAGACAACCCTCATGAATCCGATTGCAGTTCATATTTAATTTTGTAACTACGAGAATCCTCCAGAACCTCTTCTGCTCCCCAATCATAATCGCAACCAGACTGAATGGCAGCTCAGAAGAGGCTGAGGCTGCGCTCTCAGACATTTCCAACAAACTTCAAACAGAACAACTCCTTAAATGTAAATGATAACCCGTTATTCTACAATTTATCAAGTCAATCTGACAGGAACCTCTCCTCTGTCCCGACCGCGTTTATAACCTCTGCAACTAGTTTGTGTTTTATGCGCTTCGGCAGCCGGTGTTTCATTCTCATTGTCAATAAAGTTTTTCTTATTTCTTCTGGGGAAAATAACAGGGAGTCCCCAAATATGCTGAGGACATAGCGTGACCAAATGTGGTTAATTGAGCGCCTTTCTGTATGTAAATGATGGTGACCGCATGTTTCATTATTCAGGTTTTTGACTGTTCATGCACTCATTCTAAATTTCAGTTGTAGGAGGGAATGTGGGACAGTTTCTACGAACATTTGATAAATGAGGTCCCTGGGGTTTTTCTCTTTATGGTCTGATGTCTGAAACCTGAAAACCAAAGATGGTCTAAAATGTACACCGTAGTTGTGTGAAACTCATTTAAAAACACACATGAGAAGATAACGGTTGGTTGTTGCAGTGGTTCTGTCCTACACAGTCACTCATGACTAGTGTTCTTCCCCATAAGTTGCTTTGGAAAAAAGTGTTTGCCAAATACAGAAACATAAGCATGATTATGGTCTATGAAGAAATGAACCCTGTGTCACTTTGTTAATAGGCACAACATGATGAGGCCAGCAGTGCTGCATTCACCCACCAGGATGAGAACCACTCTAAAGGATTTTACTGCCATCCCCCTGCTGCACACCAGCAGTTAATTATAGCCATGGCAAATCTTTCAGTCAAAGTCTTGCTCAGCAATTTTTGGAAAATTCCTTCCATAGATGTGAATTTCTTGTACACAAGCGTTTTAGAAGTACATGAGGGGGTACTCTTTTCAACCAATCAAAACCGGCAGGATTTTGCAAGGAAATAAAACACTAATGTGCCGAAGAAAGATGCACGTTGGCACCAAATAGAATAGATTATAGAAATAACTCTCCTTCCATCAAGGTCGAGTATTTTAGGTTGGAAGAAGACCGGCGCCAATTGCTTGCTGAGTTACCAGAGTTGGCTGATTTTCAGCCTGATTGCTTTGACAAGTCTGCAGATCAGGCTCTGGGTAGTTTGTCTTTTTTGTACATGTGTTCCCTGTGTGGTGCATTTTACTGGTGAAGGGGATTAAAATGGGTTTAACAACGATCAAAGAAAGCCTGGGAAGATATTAAGATACAGTACAGGTTGTCTGTCGAATATCTGTTATAGAATTCAAAGTGAATGTCTGTTAAGGTATGAGGGCTGATGTTAATTCTTTAAGTCAAATCAAACAAAGGTTACAGATTTCTATTCATTTTTTTGGTTCGGATTTAATTTAAGGTGCATTTAACAACAAATTACATTTCAATTGGATTTCTTTCATCAAATTTGTATAAAACGTATGAAAAAATTCCTAGATCTCTACATAACTTTAGCAGTTAAATTAATCAAATGAGGGGATTGTTCGATAAAGTGCATTTCCCTTTTCTCATATTAGATGTGCTTATGTTGCATCTAAGCCTTTTATTTGGGTTATTAGTATATATATATATATATATATATATATATATATATATATATATATATATATATATATATATATAATATATATATATATATATATATATAATATATATATATATATATATATATATATATATATATATATATATATATATATATATATATATATATATATATATATGTATATATACACACACACTATGTGAACAAAGTATTGGGACTCTGGCCTTTAGAAGCACATGCAACTCCCTCTACTCTGGAGTTGGAAAGGCTACTCTAGCTCGGCTCCAAATGGTACAAAATGCTGCAGCTAGATTCCTGACTGGCACCAGGAGGCATGAACACATCACGCCAATTTTGGCTCATCTGCATTGGCTTCCAGTCTCTTTTAGAGTCAAGTTCAAGGTACTCACGTTTGTTTTCAAGTCACTACAAGGCCGTGCACCATACCTCTCTGATTTAATCACCCCGTACACTCCATCGTGCACTTTGAGCAAGGGCGCAGATAGAATGTTCAAACTGGGGGGGACAAAGTTCCAATGCATCCTCCCCCAAACACACACACACACACACACACACACACACACACACACACACACACACACACACACACACACACACACACACACACACACACACACACACACACACACACACACACACACACACACACACACATACACACACGTACACATACACAAACAATTGCAAGAGCCTTAACTAGAGCTCAGTCAGTTTGTGTAATTTCATCCAATGGTTTACGAAAAAACTAACACCATTATATGTGTGTTTGAAGCCAGTATGCAATGGAACGCTGGCAACAAAGCTCTGCCTGATCAACACTATCCAACTCAGTCATTTGTTACTCTCCCAATCAATTACTAACCAAAACCTAATGCTTTATGCAAAACATGTTTTATTTACACATTAACTGATTTTCAGCATACCAATCTTTTAGGGCTGGGCAATAAATCGAAAATGTATCATTATCAAAATTTCTGACCCTTATCGAGAAAAATTTTCCCATGTAAAAAATTTGATAATAAAAAAATGAATAGATATGTGTAGGTTGGCAACGTTTGTGTCCCTTTAAGAAGCTGTACCACCTTGACGTAACACACGCGACAGCCGCATCTAGTGGACAACTTTTGTTTCTGCGCATACCTGTAGTTATCATCCATTTATCGTTATTGAGGTGAAATCCTCAATATATCGTGATATGGATTTTAGGCCATATCGGCCAGCCCTACAATCTTTACAGAAAACATAAAAAGCCCTATGTAAAAAAAAACTGCACAGAAAATATAATAAAAAACGATGTTCACTTATCACAGCAGTGGTTCCCAAACTTTTCAGCCTCAGATGTTCCTTCTTATTTTTACGTTATTTAAAAATTTTCATTATATTTGGAAAGTGTGTATATATATATATATATATATATATATATCTTTTTAAATGTTATATTTTACTTATATTCTTATGATTATGTGGCACACTTTGACTTCCATATGTAACACATCGCCGTCTGCCCCTTTTTACAGCTTTTTTTAACATTGTCGCTACGTCTATCACGTTAGCTGTGTTTTTACCATCATTTCTACATCCATCACGTCCCACAGAAGGTTAAACAAACATCAAACCCAACATCTGGAGCTTGTAAGCTCCACACACCTCTTGTGCAGTACCAGTTGTCTGATGATGCAGCAGCGCCAATCTGCCCGGCTGGATGAGTCAATTTCTTCATCAGAGTCAATATTCTGCTTCATAACCGGAGTGAGTCATTACCAGACAAAGTGATCAGTCAACAAAGACCAGACCTGCCGGCAATTGTAAGTTTCATCCCGATAATATTTGCCCTCTTCATGCTGCGTGCGTCTCCTCCTCTCCCGACTGGGAGCCTCTCGGCGGGAGGCATTTTTCAAACTCTAAACTCCCAAACTTTGCTCAGCCTGAAAGTTACACATCTCCACTATCTTCTGGTGTAAAGTAGTAACTTCATGAGGGATCTTATTTGTAGATGTGACTTGTTAAAGTCAGCAATGACACTTGTCGCAATATTGCGACTTTGGCGCTTATAACGAGTAAGTTCCAACACTGACAACAATGTACTGAAACTATAACCAACATGCATAAACAAACAGATCGGTCCCGCTTACTTACATTGTTGGACTTTTTTAAAAACGCAGTAATTGTTGCTTGTCTTTTTTGCTTCATCCTGCGTCCTAGCAGGGGGGGAGGAGGATCGGAGTCAATATGAATCTGGGGTGACGGATCCCCCCCGTCCCCCACCCTATCTGCGCACCTGGCTTTGAGGTCATCACAACTGGAGTTGTTGGTCGTTCTGTGTGTGCGGTGCTCAGCCAGGTGGCAGGGCATTCTCAGTCCGGGCCCCCAAATAATTCCATTAGAGATCGGACTAGCACCCTCTCTGCTAGTTTTTAAGAGCAGGTTGAAGACCCATTTTTACACCATGGCGTTCCACTAGCCTTCTTTTAGTTGTTCTTATCTTGTCTTTTAACTAATATCTTTATTGTTTTAATCTGTTCCGTTTTATTTCAGTCGCTGCATGTTTGCTGTTTTACTCTTTAATATCTTTGTTTGGGGCAGCAGTAACTCAGCAGGTTGAGCGGGTTGTCCAGTATTCAGAAGGTTGCAGGTTCGATCCCGGCTCTGGACAGAGAATTCTGCTGTTGTGTCCTTGGGCAAGACACTTAACCCACGTTGCCTGCTGGTGATGGTCGGAGGGACCGGTGGCGCCTGTGCTCGGCAGCCTCACCTCTGTCAGTGCGCCCTAGGGCAGCTGTGGCTACATCGTAGCTCATCACCATCAGTGTGTGAATGTGTGTGTGAATGGATGAATGATACACTGTAGTGTAAAGCGCTTTGGAGTCCTTACTCTGAGAGGCGCTATACAAGGGCGGGTCATTTATCATTCATTTATCATTTGTTGTGTGTACAGCACTTTGGTTCAATCTCATTGATGAAAAGCGCTTTATAAATAAAGATGATGATGGTGATATTACTTTTTATGACATTATAGCAGCTTCAACTTTTCTGGGAAATCATTACAAGTGTGTACTTTTTCACCATAATTTTTAATAGATGCATCTTTGAGGTCAGATGCTTACGTTGGAAGGGAAGACCTGGCTCAGAGTTTGCTCTAATTCATCTAAAAGCTTTTATATCTTGAATCTGTGCAGCCATGTTCATTCAAATGAAACTCATTCATCCATATTGTTATTGGGTGGTGTATCCCAATACTTTTTATAATATATGTTGTAATGTTTTATTTTATCTGTCTTGTAAACAAATGAAAAGCATAAGAAAATTCACCATAAAAACACCCTGGAGGTTACACTTTACCCATTTAGATCGCAAATATAGTATATACTAACATTCATCTTCATTGTTAATCACTAGCTCCATCATATATATATATATATATATATATATATATATATATATATATATATATATATATATATATATATATATATATATATGTCATTATGAAAAGAAAACACACCTCAACGTTATAAAAAAATCCTCAAAGCTACTCGGAAAACCAAGCTAGACTTTAAATCCAATACCTGCCCTTCTATTGTGCACACAGCAGAGTCGTTATGTGTCTGTGCGAGTCACTGCGTTTTACCTGGTGTATCTCCTGCCAGCCATTCTCATCCTCACAGCCGACCTGTGCGTGATCGTGCAGCAGCAGCTCACAGCAGTAGGGGTCTCCTCCTACCATTGAACTGTGGTAAAGTGGAGTCAACCCCCTGCTGTCCTTGTAGTCAGGTGACGCGCCCAAGTCCAGCAGTGTCTAAGGACAAAACCACAACTCTGTTGAAGTGCGCTCATTTTCTACGGTGGTGGTGGTTTCATAGTTAGAGCATCATTAATAAAGGGCTGTTGATGCACTTTTACAACCCAAGTTGTTACATTTCTCTGAAAACATTGGATATTTTAACAATGGCGATAAAGTAATTGAACAAAAGTAACAAATTCTAGTTTCTATGTGTGTGACTGATATCGAACCCCTTTACACACATGCAAGGCCATTAGATACAGCAGGCCGTTTTAAGGGGGCACGTTAAGCCTCACATACTGAGTAATTGTTCAAGCACCCTACGTGCTTCATTGTTCAGCACCTGAGCTAAAATGTTACCAACCCCTTCCTCTGTGACTACCTTTCTCTTTTCCTATAATAACACATTAGAGTCCAGTGATCAAACAAAAGGAATAAAACTGATGAGTCAGCATATGTTGCTCTGGGTTTAAGTCTTACTATTAGTGCTGTGTGGTTCTTGTTGCGCACAGCCTTGTGCAGGGCGGTGATGCCGTCCTTTGTTCTGAAGTCCAGATGTGCCCCTCCATTTTTCAGCACTTTGATGAGGTCTGCACATCCCTCCAACTGTGCTGCCAGCGTTAGTGGGCATTCTATGGAATTAAAGCCTGAGTAAGCAAACTGCATATGAATCACCATATTTCCACTTATTTTACTGTGTTTTTCTTACAAAATAATCTCAGAAAATATGAAGAAGTCTACGTTTGATGACAAAACCAATTACAGGGAAAAAGCTGCCTCGTTTGGATGACAGCCTCGGCTGTGGCGGTCGTCACCCTCTGGTCCGCCTAAGTGGCTGCTTCCTGTGGAAACCAAACCTATTCTCATGTTGCCGTCGCTTTGCAGCTCATCTGCTAAACTACAGGTCACCTGGCAGGAAAACCTCCATTTGTGGCTGGACAAGCATTTGAATTTACACAAAGAGATTGGCAAGGATTAAAAAAAATAGCTTTAGCCGGCAAGCAGAAGGCTTATTTCAGAAAATCCACACACGGTGGAGAAAGATAAAATGAGGCGGAAAGTAGAAAAGAAAAGATAAAGTGAGGTTGGAAAAGGACCATATGCTGACTAAAGTGACGTTCAACACAATAGACTGGCTCACCTCCCGTGTCTGGATCGTGGAAGTTAGGATCCAGGCCTTTTTCCAGGAACCTTGAGACCTTTTCAATGTTCCTCTGCTGCACATACTCCATAAACTTCTTCAGGCTTGCCTAATAGAGGGAGACAAGGGGCCGGGGGAGAGGGGGGAGACACAGCAGCGGTTGGGTGATGCTGAACTCATGTGGATGGGGGTGATAAATAATGCAGGTCAGAGATGAAAGCTACATTTGTTGCTCTTCGCTTCTGTCTGAAGGTTTTATTTCTGTTCTGTCATGCCAACCAAATGGATCAGAAGATATACAAGCTATTACAGGGCAGGCTCTAAAAGAGAGGTAGAAAGGGCGGACAGTAACACTTTTTCCTTTCTTCTTGGAAATTAGTGTCAAGACAAATGAAATCCCGAGGCTAATATATGGTTTTTTGGTTGAAAGAGAATAGCAGTGTTCTTGTAAAAAGCCTGAGAACATCACTTATGTGTTGCTTGGCTTAATAAAAATTCACATAAAACATAAAATCTGTTTAATTCAACAAGCAATACGCCCAGAAAACGCACACCCTGGGAACAGATTTGCTTTGTGACTTTCCCTCTGTTATGATTAAAGATATCCATCTACTACACTAAAGCTGATGTCAGATCAGAGCACAAATAAAAATAGAGGTGAGTATAAACCGTTCCAGGCTGGGAAACGTCACTAAAACCAAAGCACTGATGCATTTTGGAGTGTAAAAAAGGAAACGATATTTCCCAGAATGAAACAGATGAATATGCATGAACTAGTACATCCTGGAAAAAATGGAGACAAATGCATTTTACAGTAAGATGATACAATGATCTACTAAAATATAGCTGTTAGGCTATTTTGTGTCCTGGAGACGATATTTGCAGCGCTCCATCCGTAAAAGATTCACAGACAACTTTCATTACTCTTTTTATCCTCTCAAGGTTTCCCAGCCTCAGCTATTACATAACAATAACCCTCCATGCACAAATTACATTTTGCACAACTTACTTAAAACATGTAAAACACACACTTGCATATATCGCACAGGCAGAAAAACAAGGAGCAGCTTTTGCACACTCACCACGTGTGGCATCACGAACTGCTTACTTAGTCCAGGTTCTTCAAAAAGCCACACTCTCCAACACCTTCTGGATTTCACATGACAACCATCGTTCACCACACCAACTCATCTACAGCCCGCTCACCCATACAAGCTCGCTCCCTGTTCTCACACACACGCCACGCTGACATGCTGCGACGATCTACCAACAGCTACGCTACGCTCTCCACCTCCAAACCAAACTGACTGAGAGGAATTCACTTTGGCTTTCTCTTTTCTCTCTCTCAGATGTGCTTTGAGGCAGTTGTTATGGTGATGGGATACAAAGACATCTCGAGCAGCCAACATACAGGCGAGTGGGCAGAGCAGTGAGGTTGTGTTTGTGAGTGTGAACGAGAGCACTTGTCTGTCCTGCATAATACCTGAGATGATGATTTAGAGGATAATTTATCAATAATCAGGTGGATCTGGTGTGTGGATTATTGTCTGTTGTGCAGAAAGCTGATAAAAGTGACATTATCTTATTCAGTGAAGGTCTTAATAAACTCCTGTTTAAGGCTATTTTTCACTCTCTGCAGTTAACACTGACAAATTTTTATTTTAAGCATCCAAACTAACGGTTTTCAATTCTAAAATTCACAAAAGGCTGACAGTCAAATTTGAAAAGGGACAACAATATTAATAAAACATTGGATTATTAATATAATTCAATTAAGAAAAATACTAGAGTCAGTTTCATATTTAATGTTTAAAACTGTAGCATTTTTTGGGGTGAGACACTAAATATTCACAAATTAAGGCTAATGAAATCTTTGTCGTTTATTGAACAAAAATGACAATTTATTTCCATAATTTTTGGCTTCATAATTACTTAGAGAACCACAGAATTTAGAGTCCGTCCGGTTCTGGAAACGTAACATTATTTCACTTAAAGGGGCATTATGGAAGTCTGACAACCAAAACATGTATAGAAATAATACATTTCTTCTTCATACATTCTCCTGCAATGCCCTGGTCCTGTAGAATGAGCCCTGGCATTTTTACTGTGATTGCCTATTTTTCTGTAAAATCACAGAAAAAGAGCTGCTCGGGTCGAGCAGGCTGCTTCATGGACGTTCACGCTCAGGCATAGCCCTCCAAACCGTTCTTAAATGGTACAGATACAAGTTACGTCACTGGTGTGTTCGCTCGCCTGTTAAGATGTGGGACTTTCATGCAGAAGACCTGGGTTCGATTCTGGATGTGAACATAGTTTATTTAGAGTTGATTTTTTACATTAATGGTATGTTTTTTTTACAATAAGATGCCCACATTTTTATTTGACACTCGCCGAACGGCATTGAATTCACAGATAAAAAAGATGTGGGTTCAACTTTCATTTTGGAACAATTTTTCAAGCAAGGGAAGGGAATGATCTGAGCATGCAGGAAGACTGACCCATTTAAACCTTTGTCGGCTGTGCTCAAGAGAAAGGTACAGAACCAAATTATTTAATTAATTAGCTGCGCGTTCTCCCGTCCTTTGTCCTCCGGGCCACACACACACACACACACACACACACACACACACACACACACACACACACACACACACACACACACACACACAGACACACACACACACACACACACACACACGGAGCTGACTGTCCAGGACTACAAATGTGCTTCACGAAAGTGACATCATCGAACCAAACATGGAGAAAACAGAGGGAAAATGGCTGTAAATTCAGCTAATTTCTAATCCTTCCCACAAGAACCACCATAAATCTGGCCATGTGGTAAGTAGCAGCTATGCTAGGGGAGAGGAGATTATGTGGTGACGTCATATGTGAGGTGCTGATGTCTGATTTGTAGTCACGCTAATTGCGATATTTTACAAGCAGATAAATCTCAAAGTACATGGTGTGATCCAGGGCGTAAGGCAAAGCGGATTAGAAAATAGCTCTTTTAGCCCCGTCGACGTGCTTTTTTTTTTTCATTCTTCTGGGCACCAATGAGCCGACTGGAAAGGGAGGAGACGTCAGCTCCCTATTATTACCGGCACAGACATTAATGAGAAGATGCCACATTAACCACTAATGCCTAATGGAAAAGAATGCATAACACAGTTTTCAGCCATCCAAGATCTACGACTGAAGCTGTTTTGGTTTCTGTCTGCAGAGACTTGTCCAAGATGGTGAACACAATTCTTGTGTGCCTGCAGCCAATCCAGATTCTACTCTTTATAACGCCTAGTGCACTGACTTTAACGTTCGTCAGTTAAAATACAGAAAGTTCAGTTGATGCTCTTGAAAAATACAAACAATGGTTCAATGACTTCAATCTGGCACAGTACTGGATAAATAGTCTCCCACAATGCATTGGTGTTTGTATTAGAAAAATACGGATGTATTTGTCGGGACATCCAAGTCACATTAAGACAATACCACATAAACACAAAACCCACATTTACTTGGTAATGGTAAACTTAAAAACAAACAAAATGACTATCTCAGACTGTCTGCATACACCACAGCAATAACTCACAGCTTCATACTACTACTACTACTACTACTAATAATAATAATAATAATAAGAGATACACTTTTCTTCTTACAGCACATCTCTCAGTGTTACACTGGTATTACTGGAGGCTTAAAAACAACTTGAGGTGGGAACAATTCTCGTTCACTGACTATTTTTTATGAAATGGATGAAAGACTACTGTTGCATGTGGGAGTGTGTCTGTTTACGCCATAAATTAATTTTGTATTACGGTTCTAATTGCCCTGAGTAGCACAAGTGGTACATTTTCTGCTAGAATAATAGCACCGATTAGTTTGTATGCAACTTTAATGTTTGTATCAATGAATTTGGACGTTTGTATTAGGAGCTCTGAAGTTATGTTGAGAACGCTTGTTAAGATGTGCTGCAGGACTTCTCTGTTTCATTTCTGTTGAACTTTAAAAAAACATTTAAAATTGCACCTGAGTCAGATTTCCTGCCTTCGAGTGCAGCTCCACAGAGTTAAAGGAAGAGCTGCACACACCTCCTGTTGGCCTTTAGAAGGAAACATGCTTTCAGTCCTTTGTAACTCATTTGTGTCCAATGAGCACATGGCTCCAGTCCTAATTCAGCCTTTCAACATGAGAGGCTTGCACGGGGGACCACATACGCACCTCCAAACTGTCTCACCATACAGTTCAGGAGGTTTTCTAAAGTTTAACCTCATTTCCAATTCCTCAATTCCCACATTTTCTCTTAAGTGACATGTTTTGGTTTGAAGAGAAACGAAAGTGCATGTTGTGCAAAATGGATTACGTTGTTTAAAGTTCAATAACCAAATAGTAAAGCACTTTCTCTCTGAGCAACAGTTCTTAAAGTGCGTGTTTAGACGGAAACCAGGACTGACTTTTGACCCTAAACTTTGACTTCAAGTTTGAAAGGATGTCAACAGTATTCTTCTGAGAAGATGAAAAGGGAATGTTGCGTCAAACAAAAAGCAAAACAGAAGAAAAAATAAAGACAAAAATAGGAGGATACGTGAAATAGAAAAGAGGTGAGCGAAACAGCAGCAAGAGTCAAGAACCAGAATCTGGTATTTAACCAGCTTGTTAAAACCTTGTTTAATGCTTAACATATAACTAACCTTAGCTATACTGCCTTCAAAATAAAAGAAGTTTAATTAAAACTTTTAGTATTTATTTTCTGCAAATTGGTAAAATTCTGTCCCTTTTGGGAATTTCCAAATTCCGATTTTATAAAACAAAAATCCTTAATTTCTGACATAATAAATTAATTGTATTCTAGTTGCTTATTTCAATTGGCCCTATTATTATTATTATTATTATTATATTATAGATGACTTACATATTTTATATAATTTATATAACATATCTTAAGAGACAAACACAAGAGCTAACTTTTTTGTTGTTTTAATGTTTAAGAGTTTTGTGATTAAAATCACATGATTAAAGCAAAAGCCAACAAAAAACCAATAAGCAGTTGATCTACATAATAATAATAATGCATTGAACTTATATAGCACTTTTCTAGACACCCAAAGACGCTTTCACACACTCTCACATTCACACACTGCTAGTGGTGGTAAGCTACTTGTAGCCACAGCCGCCCTGGGGGGGTCTGACAGAGGCAAGGCTGCCATTTGGCGTCGTCGGCCCCTCTGACCACCACTAACACAGGCAAGTTGGGTGAAGTGTCTTGCCCAAGGACACAACAGCAGGATACCCCTGGCGGGAGCTGGAATCGAACCTATGACCCTCCGATCATGAGGCAACCCGCTCTACCACCTGAGCTACTGCTGCCCCAAGACCTATGATACCCACATGTCAGGGCTAAATGAACTATGGTGATTTAGTCCTTCAAGTTTTTCACTCTCTCAGGCTCAAAATAAGTTTTAATAAAAGGACAAACAACTAAGTCCTTCAGGGGTACTTCTGAAATAAAAAATGATCATGAAATACGTATGTGGAGTAACTGGGTAGGTAGGTTTTAACTGTTGCAAGTCTGCAACGCCTGCCTCCAGAGGGTTAAAAGTAGAGCCTTATAGTGCATGTTAATCCACAGCTGAACCCACAAGTCCAACTGTTTAATAATAAACTCTGTACTTCAAATGTGTTTAAAGTATTTTGAGATATGTCAGTGTGTTTTAAACTCTTAATTTGAAGGGTTTGAGATCACAATGAAATCTTCCCAAGTCTTTAAAAGTCTTCAGTGTGGATTTTTTTTCTCAAAACTAGTAAGCAAAAACCAATTTGTCCTCTGGAAGTGGCCCTAATGTGCATTCAAATGTATTTGTTTGTTCTTTTTCATTTTTGGTGAGGTCAGTTAGGTCCAAATGTGCCAGAAAATGAATTTATGATCAAATCTTAAAACCATCTGAAGATCCAAAAGTATGAACATGCTGTAAAAAGACTGAGACAACACACAGACGGGGGCAGGGATGAGAAAAGAAAATTAAATTACTTGTAAAAGAACGACCCGGCAGCTTCGGGTTTGACTTCATTCTTTGGAGTTTTACTCATTTTAATTCAAAATTATGCATTTAGTCTCCATTCAACATAAAGGAGAGTTACAAATCGCAGGAAACCCTCCATTATTAATTCAACATTCTGAATAATGAACATGTTTGGATATTTTTACTTTGTTTAGGGTCACCTGCAAGTGGCAGGAAGTGAGTGAAGCTCTTAGTTGGTTCAGAAAAGATGGCAAAAGTTTGTTCGTCTCACTGGGGGCTGATAGCAACATATATAAGCACTTACTTTTCCAGAATGTCACAAAGAACAGACTTCACCAGAGTAGACTCGATACATGCAAAAACATTCTTCTCTTGCCTAAAACTTTGACGCAATCCTGCATTTCACCCTTATAATTACCCCTTGGCCTACAGCTGGCTCTGCCACAGATGAAATGTAATTAAACCGCTCATCTATTTAATGTCTTGTGCAGATCAAGACAGCTAGTTCAATGGGTCGTGTGGATACTCTGACGTCAGTCCCGTATCAGGATGACAGGAGCAAACCTGAAAAGTTGGGACCGTTTGTAGGCTCGCACAAACGTGAAAGAGGTATTTTATGACTTCAACACCAGCTACACTCTAGATCACATATTTTGAGCTAAATTATTTCCAGTACTTACTGCTTTTATGTGGCACTCAAGTGCTTAAAGTGCTTTAGAAGGAGTCAGGACCCAGTGCATTGTGTAGTCAAATCTGCCCTTTAACAAGCTAAGCCCTGTTGGTTTGGCAACAAAGAATGTCTATAATTAATTTATTCGTGGCTTTATAATTGTTGACTCACACAAGGCTTTTGCTTTGAACTCATCCGAGTAACTGGGCCTTACCACCCGAAGCGTGAGCGTCGCGTGACGTCCATGAAATGCCCAACAAATGTAATAATCAGCAATTAGTCACCATTATAGTGGATGGGTTCTTTTCCATTGAACTGTGAAAGGGTAGAATGCCTTAAGTATCTCGGGTTCTTGTTCCCGAGTGAGGGAAAGATGGATCGGGAGATCGATAGGCAGATTGGGGCTGTGTCTGGAGTGATGCGAGCATTGTACTGGTCTGTCGTGAAGAGAGAGCTGAACTGGAAGGAGAAGCTCTCGATTTACCGGTCGATCTACGTTCCAACCCACACCTATGGTCATGAGCTTTGGGTAGTGACCAAAAGAACGAGATACGAGCGGCTGAAACTAGTTTTCACCGCAGGGTGGCTGGGCTCTCCCTTAGAATAGGGTGAGATGCTCAATCATCTGGGAGGGTCTCGGAGTAGATCCGCTGCTCAAGAGGAGCCAGTTGAGGTGGCTAAAGATTCTAATTAGGATGCCTCCTGGATGCGTCTTTTGGAATTCTAGGGTGACCAAGGAAGGTCCCGCCTTTCTCGCCTCTGATTGGCTAGATGGGCTCTACTATGATTGGCTGAAAATTTGCGGGGGCGACAGACAACAGCGGCCTTCGCTTGTCTGAAAGCTAAGCAAGCAAAGCAACTGATGTGGATATCTGAGCAGGGGTAAATATGTCTTTGTGAGAAAGCTAACATTAGCTTTTCAAAAGCCACGTTAAAAAATAGGCATGCCCTCAAATGTTCATCCAATCTGTTGTTTGCTGATGACATAGCTGCCATTTCAATATACTTATTCACACACACACACACACACACACACACACACACACACACACACACACACACACACACACACACACACACACACACACACACACACACACACACACACACACACACACACACACACACAGGTGTTCTGTACTTGTTCAATAAAATCTGGGATGTAATCGATGTGGTGTATTTTCATGATCATGCCTTTTGATAACAATTTGGAAATACTTTCATAGGATGAGGCTGTGAAGCAAGCAGGATGAAAGTGAGGACACATCTGTCATGTGTTTAAATCTGTATCTTTAACTGAATTTAATTGAAAGCTGATTATGATTTAGACCTATTTTTCAGCAATTTTCATTATTCTAGAAGAGAAACAGACCTGCTGCACACAGCTGGGTAAAATAGGGCAGTTTTATTATATTTCATACCCAGGTAAGGCACACACATTTATCCTATGTACTCTGCTGTAATAAGATAACCTCAATGCTTTAGAGCCATAGACATAAAGTAAGTACCACAGTGTGATAAATGCAACAAGATTTATAAGTTCACTTATTACATTTTTCAGTTTTTAATCAATGAAACAAAAAAACTTTTGCAAAACAGGACAGAATGGGGCTAAGTTCTTATTTTCTAAAAAAAAAAATCATAATAAAAAAAAATCCCCAAAACAGCTGTTCTGTTGGTCTGCACGATGGTCTGCACTTAGCAAGGGAAGACGGTTTGCTGCTAAATGAAATAGCCAATCGTAGTACAGCCCATCTAACCAATCAGAGGCGAGAAAGGCGGGACCTTCCTTGGTCACCCTACAATTCCAAAAGACGCCTCCCTGGTGATGTTTTCTGCACACGTCCAACTGGCAGAAGCCCCAAAGGAAGACTCAGGACACGCTGGAGGGACTATGTCTCTCGGCTGGCCAGAGGGAGCAGGCAGAAGTGGCGAGGGAGAGGGAAGTCGGTGCCTCCCTGTTTAGGCTGCTGCCCCCGCGGCCCATCCCCAGATAAGCAGAAGAGAATGGATGGCTGGGTTCGTTGCTATTGCCTGCCATGCATTGCAGCATGGGGATGCGGTCCAGCCCCCTCAAAACTCCATTGTTCTGATTGGGCCAGAAAGCAAGTCAAACACCAAAAATGTGTAAAACATCTGGAAACATTCAAAATAAAAGTCACATGCAGTTGGAAGGGAGCTCACAGGTAAAACGTGTCTAGTGTGTAACACGCCACTTACACATCCAGTGGAAAGGCTGGTTAACGTCATGTTTATTCAACCTGCCTAGCAGCAGTTTGGACCACATTACTTTCACAATACGAAACTAAAGAAACAGCTGTTTAATTAAAACTAATCAATCTTATTCAACTTATACTTTAAGATATTAAGTACTGAACTAGATCTTGTTTGATGCTTCATCCTTAATCTTTTGATAAGGATGGAAACTGCCTTGTGTTGTGATTAGTCAAGGCAAGGTACACAAATACCTTATCTATAAAACTATGTTCATGGTGCCCAGTCCATCTACTTTTGTTGACATTCAATTATATAAAGTCTGGAGCTCAATCCGGTGGTCCTTTACCATCCTCCTCCTCCATGTTTTAACCTGAAACTTTCCTGCTGCAAGCATTTTAATTACACACACCTCCGAGCCACAAACAGCTCTTTTGGAATGCATGAAAACATTGATTCTCAAACACCAACTCAAGCAACAGTTTTTGTCACAGCTGTAAAAAAAAGACATTTACTGCATGAATTTGTTATGCACATTTGCACAGCTGCAGCATTCACACTCAAGTTTATTTGTATTTTTGTGTTTTAAAAATGTCTTCTGTCATGGCGTGGAATAAATATACATTTATTCACATGTATAACTGAAAATAAAGGGACACAGACAGTTTAATCATTCAACTGCATGAGATAAAAGTAAGAGGCACTGATGCTAATATTCACCCGAAATCTTTGGCAAAGCCACAAATCTAATGGAGCGGAGACAGGAAGTAAACAACTCAGTTTGTATCTTTAGTACGAGTCAGACTCACTGCAAGAAAGTAACAGAAAATCCTCTTTAGCATCAGAGGGAAAAAAAGAAACAGTCAAATGGTTTAGCTGGTTTTATTTGTCAGTTTATTCTATAATTCATGGATTTATTCCAGAGTATAGGGGTCTAGAAGCTTGTTCCTATTAAAAATGCAGCACAGTGATGGGTGGCAGGGACAAGAGAAGATGCGATAACATGAAGGACAGCAATGAACGAGAGTAGCTCATGATAAAAAAAAGGAAAAAGGGTGAGAAATAAGCAATGGACAGAAGTGGTACTGTATTTACAGCATGGTGTCTGGTGAGTTAACCATGTTAGCTTAAACTCGTGTGCTAACATCACAAAATTGTACTGATTACTATCGTGTACCAGACAATTAAAATAGTATCGGTCAGTTAATATAATAATAATACTAATGAGCATCTGTCAGCGGTCTCACACTCATTAATATCCATTCACGTAACGTAGTTTAGCGCTTAGAGAGAGGGAGAGAGACGCCTGTGATCCTGTGTTCTGAGAAAACATCCTACTTTGTTAAAACGTCCTATCCGTGGGATAATTTTACGGTGTTTTACATGACACAAACCCTAACCCTAACCATAACCCTAACCCAAAAAATCAAGTATCAACGTCAATAAAAAGTACTAATACTTACTACTTATCTATTTTCCTGCAAACATGACAACGGAGTAGCATTCCCTTTTTGTGTTGTGCGCATGCGCGCACATGCTCAGGAACAACGGGTAGGATGGTGTACCGGGTAGGAGAAATTCCCAGAACACCGGTTCAGGAGCTCATGCGGGCTTCTGTGAGATGGATTTGACCCAAGCACGAGCGAGACAGTCGAGCTGGTATTTTTAAAAGCCACGCATCCCCTCCTGGTGCGGCGGTTCTGATCCGGTTCCGACCCAGAAATCAGCTGGCCCGCTGAGCTGCGCGTCTCTTCTGGTGGTCGGTTCTGACCTGGTTCTGACGGTGATCTGAGCTCCAGAAATCCGCATTTAAGTTTTTGAAACCCCGCCACGGGTCTCCGGAGCCCAGCGCGGACCTCCCTGTTCTGGTACCGACCGATGTGGGCTATAGAAGTCTCGTCTTTTCAGCTGCACAAAACACCCTCAGGCACGGAGATAGAGGCGTTGTTTCTCTTATCTGGAAACCCGTGGACTCGATGTCATGCAGGAGTTGGTACAGCCTTCACAGACTATAGTTCATCAAAATGAACACAATCCAACACTAGTAAACACACTGACTCGATTACATGATCTCTCTACCCTAAAAGTACCCACTGTCCACACTGAGCTGAGGCAGCGCCGAGCTTAACTCCCTTTGGTTACGTCAGAGGTTCAGATTTAGAAAAGAAAACTCTGCTGTTATGTATTTTAAAATGAAATAAACACAATAAGCTTTTTAAATAGTATTTTTGGGAAGCATTTTATATGAATTAGAAAAAATATTTAACCTGCTATTTGCTCTTTAAGTCTGGCTTTTCTCCTAAGACTATAATTAATACTATCATTTTTGCAACATGGACTTGAATAGATTTGTTAGGAAAATCACATTTTGTGTGTGCAAGTGAACAAATCTTGTTTGCAATCAATTGCCCGCATTTGTGGGAGTATTTTGTAGTTTGGTATCTCATAGAAAATGTCGATTCTGAAAAAGAAACTAAAGGTTTTCTGACAAATGTATGGGGGTGTATTCATTTATGTTGAGCACTGTATGTCCTGCATTAGCTTCTGATAGAAAATAGATGGTGAGACTCTAGGATCTGAAAAGCCTGACAGATCTACGTCACAATGTCGCTTAACATTCACGGACTCACCCATCTTGACTTACGATGGGGAAGGCTTTTGTTGGTTTAGCATCCAGGAAACAGCAGTGAACGTCTCATCTAGTAGAAGCTAAGTGTTAGCATTAGCAACTTCACCACACTGCAGGAATCCTCCAGGCTTGTGTTATTTGTGGAGATAAAACATCAATGATGCTGTTAGCCAATTCAAGGCGAGATGTCAAAATACCAGGAAATAAGACTCCAAATCCTGCCGCCTGAAGCTACTTTCTCCTCCAGGTGGCTGTACTTCCTGAAACAGGCTAATCGGAGCAGCTTTTCCTCTTGAGTACGACTTACAAGGCATTCCTACTATAAACCACTGCAAATGTATTAAAATATGAGGACCTCTGAGGATGTGCACTATTACCTCAACAGCTCTGAAGAAAACGTGATGAAATGATCCTACTGTGTGGTGTGTTAAGCACAGTCTAGTCTGCACAAAAAGACATTGCGTCTCCGATCATTAATCCAGGCTTTCAAACATGCTGAAATGTCTTGTTCTGATTTTCGGGGACAAATGAACGTGACACTTTGTGTGTTTTTGACAAGCTGCTGCACACACACTATAAAACCAAAACTGGTATATCACGGTCTCTCAGCCCACATTTTAAATGTTAAAAATACTGCAGTGTGAACTAGTTTTTAGGATAAGTGATGACTGGAATTGTGCCTGGATGTGAGTGTGTGCATCGTTCTATGTCATTGTTTGTGCCCTCAAGCAATGGCCTGGCGACCTGTCCAGTGTGTCTTCTGCCACTCGACTGATGACTGCTGGAGTCAGCTCTCCATGACCCAACTCATGACAACAAAATTAATGAAAATGTGCATCTACAGGTTAAAGTTATTTTTTTTTTTCTACATTCTTTTAAAGGTGGAGGAAGAAGGCTGGAGCACTCGGGTCAAAATAAAAATATTTAATTAGTGCAAATAAATGAACTAATGTTTCAACATTGCTGTCTTTGTCAGAGTTCAACTATTCTTCATTCTTTAAGGCCTAGTCCACACGTAGCCGGGTTTTTTTTAAACGAATATCCGCCCCTCCAAAAACTTGCATCCACACCACCTCTTTAAAAAAAAAAACTCTGTCCACATGTACCCGGATAAATATGTTGTTAAGGACATGCCAGACTTGTAGGCAGCAGTATTTCCCCCGTTCTTAACCTCGTCCTTCGTCTGTAGTCTTCCGCAAGGAGCAGTAACTCCGCTTGCAAAAACAAACAAGCAAAAAGCGCTTGGACAATTGATCAAGCGAGCGCAGCTCTGAGGGCATCCATGCTGTCGGCTAGTGTAAACACAGGTCGCACACGTGATGTCAGCATTTGTTTGTCGCGGAAAGTGACGTTGCGGGCCTTAAAACGCCGGTTTTGTCTGTCCACACGCAGACACCCAAAACGGAGAAAACGCAGATCTTCACTTTGGCAGGAGTTTTTAAAAAGATCAGTTTTCGTGTGAAAAAACTCCGTTTTCGTGTGGATGACAGGCCAAAACGTAGAAAAATATCCACGTTTTGGCAGATCCTCGGCTACGTGTGGACAGGGCCTTAGAGATATTAGTAAAAACCTCCATGATGCCATAGCTGCAGGATTCACTCAAATGTCTTCAGAGTGAATAACTCATTTTCAAAGTGTTTTCTCTTTTGGAAAAGCGACTTTAAAAGAAGATGACTTGCCTCTCATCCCTTTTTTGAAGCACAATTGATTAACCTCCTTTGTTTAATGTGAACGATTAAACTCATCTCTAGTTGTGGTTTATAAGCCAGTCACTTCAGCATCAGTCTTCTTCTCTTTGGGGCATAACCTGTTGGTTATGTTTGTCCAACAGAACTAAATATGCAAATATCCAAATATTCAAACATGAAAGGGTAGGAGTGTAATGCTTTCAGCAACAACAACAACAGAATAAGCCAATATACAGTATGGCGGTGTGGATTTGATCCTAGGAAATAGGATTTCGTGTGAAGGGAATCTTCTACTTTTACTGTGGAGCAGCAATATAAATCACTGACTAATCCAATACTTGCTCAGGCTTAAGGCTACACTAACACCACAAAAATGCTCTGAAAGCTTAAGGATCAAATAGACTGGATTAATTCACTCACACACACACACACACACACACACACACACACACACACACACACACACACACACACACACACACACACACACACACACACACACACACACACACACACACACACACACACACACAGTGGCCCTTGGAAATTCATTACTTAGCACGCTAAACACATATATCCATAAGGTATGAGTGAAGTAAAAGGACACACTCAGAGATACTGATAGGGCAAGCGTTACCATGGCAACAAACAATGCATCCATCGACATATAGTTCACTTTTACACTTCCCAAGTACCTTTATCTGTTCCAGTGAAACAAAGTCATTAAGACCAAGATCACTCGTTCTTTCAACACGTGTGCAGCGGTGTCTAGCATAAAATAATACCTTGCGAGTCGATCTCTGTGTGGAAAAGAGGCTCTGGTGCTCCTGTTTCAAGAAGTAGAAGTGAGTGAAAGGGGAGTTGAGCAGAAAACGGCATTATGACGTGCAAATGTCGCTGGCGTTTCCTCGTTTATTTTCTATCAGCGCTAATGCAGGAAATAGGAGTGGACTATTTTCACATTTAGTCTGCTTGTTAAACTCAGATTTGACTGATCATATTTCAAAACGAACACCAGAATCATAACGCATATTCAAATTAACAGGTTGTCTTATATTGGAACTATTTCACTGGCATTACTTTAACTTTGTTTGGTTTATTGATGAGCTGTATCTTCTTTTATCGATGTATAGACAGCTGATGCAACATGCATAAAATAGAATGCTATTGATGCTGCTTCCATATTTCACAATGTTGTAAAAAAGCATACACATTGAAATGAAATAAAGGCCTAGTATTCCTCCAATCAGTTAGAAATGTTGGTGACTTTATGAAAGTTTCATTAAAATCTGTCCATTGGTTTATGAAGCAAACACAAACAGAGACAGATGGGCAGACGCACCATTGCCTTTGAATAATCTCAGATCATCTATTTAAAATAATTTTCTGTTATAGCTTTTAAAACCTAAAAATCAAAAATCAATTAATTTTATGATTCCAATATTTCCTCCACCACAGGAAGTTCATCCGTGTGCTATATACACACCTGAAAGATACACAAATACTCCTGGAATGAGAACAACTTGCTGTTGGACCTGATCTCATGGCTCATTAAAGCAGTAAGCATTATGTCTAACCTCTGGATCCCAGCTCCTGGCTGCTCTCTCTGAAGGCAACAGCATGACGCTTCCTGAGTAGTCCTTTTCAGAAAGAATGAGGTAATACGTTTCAGCTCGATGTAATATGCAGGATTCCTCTTGATGGGCCCACAGAATAAAATAGTGGAAGCTTTTCTGAAAAAGGTTGGCTGAAGGCTGGAACAAAGCAAGGTAAAGCTCATTCCCACTCAGTGGTAACGTGCAGAGAGCAGGCTTATTGTACGACACCCGCCCAACATAATCGGCGGTAGAAGCAGAGATAAAGCTTTACGCAACACCAAACATCACAGATGGATGTTGGAGACATAGATTAGCTTAGATAGTTGTGTTTTGCTGAAAATAGAAGTGTGATTGCGATCTGATCATGCACAAATGAAAACAAATGCACACCCCGTGGTTTCTGACCATTTGTATTTTAAATCATAACAGAAATCCTTTCTATTCAAACATACCAACTAAACTACTGTTCTGTGTATGCATGACTGTCACTTTGTGTGTTTTTGTTTGTGAGCAGCCTACATCAGAGCGGGTGAGGGGAATGCATGCTGTCATCAGAATCAAACAGTCCAGAGAAAGAAAGAGCTGAATCAGGCCCAGTCGACACCAGAACACCGAGAAGCAGACTGCAGCAGGACAGAGCTGGAGGATGAAACACTACTAAACAAAAGCAGTGGAGGCTGGACGTGAGCCAAGAGAACCAACATTAGACTGAAGCTGAAAACGCAGCAGAAAATATTCCTTCTTACATCTGAGCCTTGACCGGAAACATGCTTTTGGGCTACAGAGGGAGAAAACCAATGAGGGCCACACTCAGGGTGAGACAGAAGATGTGTGGGCAGCAGATTTATGCAGCCTGATGATTATTAGAACATCCAGTTTAACAATCAGACTAACCAACAATAATGAGTTCCATTCAGTTGGTGAAATGTGTGTTTTATTTGTAATCCTGAGATTAGATTAGGAACTTCATGGATGGATGGATGGATGGATTGACAGGTGGATGGATGGATGGATGGATGGATTGACAGGTGGATGGATGGATGGATGGATTGACAGGTGGATGGATGGATGGATGGATGGATGGATGGATGGATGGAAGGATTGACAGGTGGATGGATGGATGGATGGATGGATGGATTGACAGGTGGATGGATGGATGGATGGATGGATGGATGGATGGATTGACAGGTGGATGGATGGATGGAATGATTGATGGATGGATGGGTGGATGGATGGATGGATGGATGGATGGATGGATGGAATGATTGATGGATGGATGGATGGGTGGATGGATGGATGGATGGAAGGCAATGTTTTTGTCTGTTATTAAATTATCTCTCCATCCATGGATGAAACTAAACCAAACTGACAGAAATCATTAAATCTACGTCTAAATCTGATTTTTATTTAGTTAAACCAATTCAATTAAGCTGCCACACCTAACTACTATTAACGTTCAGATAAAAGGCTCAAACTCCGCCCATGCTACAGTTGCTGAGCTACAGATGTTATTTTGTTGTGGTTGGGGATCTTTCTAAGAGAGGTTTATTTCCTGTGAGACATTTGAAGACGAGAACACGGAAGTGACTGTTTCACAGATCCTCCAAACTGGATCCACTAAGAAACCATTTTTTGTTTATTTTTTTTTTAATGATCAGTTACTTTGAGTTCAACATGCAGATCGAACGTGAAAATTGTGTCCTGCACCCATTTCCTGCATTAGCTTATTAGCTTGTGTGCTAAAGTCTCTAAAATAGACAGTGAAACTTTAGGATTGGAAAAGCTGGACAAATCTACATCACACTGTCACTCAACATTCATGGACTCACTTGGGATAGCTGTTGTCGGTTTAGCATCCAGGAAACAGCAGAGAATGTCTCAGCTAGTAGAAGCTAACTGTTAGCATTAGCAACTACACCAACAGACTCCTAACCTGCTGTTTGAAGCTACTTCCTCCACTGGCCCAATTATGCGTGCTGAAACAGGCGCACCAGAGCTTTTTTCCTCCTTCGAGTATGACTTACAAGGCACTCCAGTAGACACAATTGCAAATGTAATAAAAATGAGTGAAGGACCACTTTATGCTACATGTATTAGTGACCCATATTCTCTCAGACCTTTCTATTTTAATTTCAAGACTTAGGAAACTTCCAGACAGCAATTATATTCAAGGCCATGTGAAACAAAATGACTGACTGATAAAATATTAATGAAAGCAGCTGTACTCAATGATTTTCGGATGGAAGTATACCAGGGTCATGGGAGTTATGCATCTACAAGCAGGAAATCTGCAGGACTTCCTGCTTGCATTAAAAAAAAGGCCCGGGGCCATCGTTTGGACATGGCCTGGTTTCAGATGATCCACAACAAACCAATCAATTTCTTTTTTGTAATACATGTCATCAGTGTCCCTGTCTGTGTGTCTGTAAAATCCACTCTGTTTGAGCAAACAACATTTAAGGTAAGAGGCGTTTTGTCTTAAAAATGCCATAGAACTGGTTCAAACCTTAACGAAAAGAAGTTCCACTGTTTGTTTAAAATGCACATCTATGTAAACTAAGGGATACGCAAACAGTGTGAAACAACTACATGGCGCTTAACTCAGACTTTTAAAAGCTCATGAATTCTGAACATACAGAATCAATAATTGACGTAATGGGAGATGAAAACACCGAGCAGATGGCCCGGCTGTGCAGTCGCTCATGTCAGACCGTCTGCAGGCCAGGGCACTGCTGACAGATGCCTCCTGCTGAACTCTCAACCACTCATGCTGACAGCTCTGACATATTACTCACCACACATGTTTCATTCAAATGTGCACTTTATAGGTCTAAAGACTGTGCAGAAACGTTTGCAATATTACAAACATCTCATCGATTTGTCCCACATGAAAAAAACAAAACACACTAAGGATAAAGACTGAGGCACTTTGACAGATCCCTTTTTTTCCCCACACTTATGCATACATAGAAAATATTATCAACGCATTCAAACGCACACACAAACACACACAGATACACATACAGGTGCAGCTGTCACCTACAGACAAGACACAGGCGTGTTAGTCTTCTTTATGTTGAGGACAAAAGTAACAATGCCGTCACTCATGCCAGCCAGAGTGTGACACACATCCATCTTCATATCAGACACAACAATGATAAAAGAACACTCGCACTAGCCGACTGCAGCAAACAAGGGAGAAATGAACTAGAGAAGGACAAAATAAACATTAGAATTCTGTCAGGGTTTCAGATAAGACTGCATCAGCTCCTCACCACGCCAACACGCAACAGAACATAACAAGAGAACGAAAGTCATGGATTCAGTCAAGAGCTTAGACAGGTAGTCAGGGACGGGTGAGGAGTGTCTGGAAGGAGCTGGAGTGAACAAGTAAACAAACAGAAGCAACAAATAGAGGAAAATATGTATCATGAAATAAAGTCAATGAGAACAATCAGGGTACCTTACTATTGAGCCGGGCCTTTTTGGCTTCCTCTGAGTTCTTCTCAGCTCGTTCTCTTCTGCCCAGAACAGATCCCATCTCTCTCTCTCTCACTCACTCACTCACTCACACTCACACACACACACACACACACACGCGCACGCACGCACGCACGCACGCACGCACGCACACACACACACACACACACTACAACATCTCACACATAATCCAGTAGGTCAGCCACAGTTTTCATGCTACAACATCTTCCACGTGGCCACATCCAGCCCCCCTTCTCCTCCTCTTCGTCTCTTTCTTTCACCACCGCTCGTTCTGGTCACAGCAGCACGTGCAAACTCACATGGTGAATTAGCCAAACCATCACACCCTCGCTGACTTCTGCACGCGCACAAACAGATGGAGAGATAGTGACGGGTGATGTTGCATGGCGCTGGAAAGAGAGGGAGGGAATATAGAGTGAGGAGAGAAAGAGTAAGGCAGTGGGAGGGACAACCAGATGAGGGAAGTCGAATGCGTAAAACTATGATTATAAGGAAGATATCAACACATAAATATGTTTATGTTGCATTTCCCGTATTAGCTTTCACATTGGAGGCTGCTGCAAT